TCGATATAGATCAATTCTACGTCTTCTCCAGGTTCGGCTCGATCACTTCGGCTTTTTTCTTTAAACAAGGCTCTAGGGTCCAACTCGTCCTCTTCAAGAAGTGGCTCCTTTTCTGGTCGGCGACCTCGGTCTTCGGTCAAAGGATCCGAGGTGGAAGGATCACCGACGTGGTTGTTCGGTTCTTCGGACGCCGTGTCGTTCGAGACGTGTTGTGATGGAGAGTTGTTTGTCGAGGTGGAATGGACGCCGCTAGATGGTATGAATGTAATAAGTTCTCGAGCTTCTCTCTGGTCTCCGAAGTGTGTCCCTTCTCCTCGTGTAGTCGGGAATTTCAGAGCATAGTGAAAAATCGAAACTACAGCTCGAAGTTTATACAATGCTGTTCTGCCGATGATGGCATTGTACTCATTATTGATATCCAGAATCTTGAAAGTTTCCATGACGAGCTTAGTGACATTCTCCGAAGTGCTGAATCTGACAGGTAAAGTGATCTCGCCGATAGGCTTCGAAATACTGCCATTAAACCCTTGTATCTGGTCATTGCAAGGTCGGATGTTGGCGGGATCAAGTCCCATTTTGTCAAAAGCTTTTAACATCAAAATACTTGAATAGGCCCCAGTATCCACCATAACACGGTGTACAGGGATTCCGCATATCGGGACGGTGATTACAAGTGCGTCGGAATGAGGATGTGCGAAGTGATTAGCATCCTCCATATTAAAAATTATGGGACAATTCCGATTGTTGAGGATGTCTCTCAAATCTGTAGTGTACACTTGTTTGTTGGAGTTGTGCGCTTGTCGGGCATAGGCTTTTATCTGTCAACGGGACAATGGACTCCGGGAGTTATTGGTATTGACACGATGGACGGTAATTTGCATCGGTTCAGGAGATCGACCTCGTTTACGTCCTCGGGCAATTCCAGTAAAGTTTGAATCGGGCGTTTTCGAAGTGAACATAAATACTTCCTTGTCTCCTTGTCGGATGCGTTTTGGCATGGCACCTCGGTCCTTTTCATCGTCTTCATCAAAGGGTTCGATCTGACGCCCCGGACCTCGCCTTTGGGGATCGGTATTACGGTAAAACTTTCTGAGTTGTGGATGGCTAATCAAACGCAACAATGCAGCTAACAAACTCAAACACTCGTCTGTGTTGTGCCCTGGTGATTTATGATAATCACAATACCGGGACTTGTCCAGTTTTTCTTCGGGCATTCGAAGTGGTTTGGGATCTGGTAAAATGCCCTTCCCTTTGATTTCTTCATATATGGTGGCTGCTCCCGCAGAATATACGGTTTGATAACCAGACTTCACATCGGTAGCATATTGTTTTCGGGCCGCTCGAACTTCAGGATCGTTGGGATCTCCCCGGGGAGGCCCCCTGAACTGAGTTTTGTTTTGTCTTTCGAAATATTTGTTCTTTTTCTTCTCCTCGGTTCCTGCCTTGGATGACTTCGGATTAAAGTTAAAGTCGGTGACCGACATGGCTTCTTCAGCTATAATATGTTGCTGAGCTCGAGCGAGAAATTCTTGAAAAGTATTCAGTTTATTCTGACACAGTGTCCAGCGGAAAATTGAGTTCGGTTTTAGCCCAGCGATAGCCATGACAAGCAGAGTTTCAGGATGACAAGGTTCCATATTCTGAACTCGGTCATTAAATCGGGCAATATAATCCTTGACACTTTCATCATCTTTTTGAGTGACATTTGCAAGAGATTCTTTTGGGATTAGGCAGACTTGAGCCCCGATGAAATGAGATCGGAAAGCCGACCTTAGTTGTTGCCACTGCCAAATTGAGTGAGGAGGTAGAGAATGGTACCATTTTTGGGCTCGAGGCCCCAGCGTAAGAGAAAACATACGACACCGAAGTGCATCCGATGCTCCATGCAGATCCATCCATGAGGTATAATGACCGAGGTGTGAGTCGGGACCTGAAGTTCCATCATATAGTCCGATCTGGGGGACTTTGACTTTCCCAGGTACAGGTTCCAAAGTGAGTTCCGGAGTGAGGGGAGAATCGGCTTCCAAATACACTTTCGTCGAGGTGGATGCTCGCCGAGGGGGATCTTCAGGTGCCCGTTGCCGACTTTCCAATTCGGCGATTCTTCGTCGCAATGTTTCAAGTTCGGATGACTCTTGACGAGCCCGATTTCGTTCTATGCGCTGCTGAAGGTCGGTCTGCGCCGGGTTGGAGGGGTTTCGGCGCTGTGCCTGAGGCAGTGACCGTCGTGAATTACCCGACTGGCTTTCGGCGGTTTCTTCTTGAGGAAGTACGAGGGGGTTACGTCCGACGTCGGTGCGACGCGTAGTTTGTTCTGGAGGCGGTTGCGACATTCGATCACGAGG